TAATAATAATAATAATAATAATAATAATAATAATAATAATAATAATATCAGCGTAATTTGGTGGTGCCTCACCAGCCTGGGTGTGGGGACATGGAAGCCCTTGCAGCGTCTGCGGCGTGTGGACCGGGGAATCCCGTTTCGTTCCAGCTCTGGCCATGAAGTCCCTTGGGTGGGCACCCGTCCTTGGCAGGCCACCCTGCCTCACAGGACTGCTGCACGAGAGGCCGTGGGGGCTGCTTGTGAGAGCAGGCGCTTGGGCCTGGGCCGGCGGGTCAGGTTCCTTTGGCTGCCTGTCCTTGCCCCGCCGGCCTTGCCCTGGATGTGGGTGAGCACCCCGGAACGCAAGCCGGGCAAGACTGAGATGCTGCCAGTCAGTGGTTCCTCCAGCTGGAATCTCGTGTGGTGACCATCTCATATACATTTACGTTTATATCTATAAAAGGGAGGATTTTTAAAAGTCGCGGGGGGTCTTAACAAAATCCTAGTAGCCGGTTCAAGGTGCTTCAGCACCAACGCAAATTGGCAAGGGGATGTTTCACCCCAAGGGGTGGCTAATATTTACTGTGCTTTGGGGTTTCCAAAAACTGCCTTTGGGGTGGTCTTCAGGGCTCACGAGATGCTGCTGCTGATGCAATTTCCGGTGCCGCTGCCCCGGTGAGAAGCCCTTACAGCCCAGCCCTGCGTCTGCCCGCAGTCTTCCTCCCACCCTTAAGTGCGTCGTCTTGCATTACTGGCTGCCTGGACAGTTCATTGTGAATAACCTTCCTCTGGCAACCTCTCGGCACACATTTCCCTTCACTGCATCCAAGCAGGGAGCTTCAGCCTTGATTTTCCCTTGTGTGAAAAGGGCGCAAGGGCGGCTTATGTTTGCTCGGCGCTCATTGGGAGAAAGTTCATTGCAGCTGGAATTTGCTCCGTGAATGTTCTGCAGCTTTTCTGAAATGCGGGTTGGTGTGTCCTTTCCCAGCACGAGGGCGGCCGTTAGCGAAGGAATCCGGTCATGCTGGCCCGAGCTGTTTGCCTCTGCCATTCGGGGCGTGTTCCCTGCCAAGCTGCGGAAGTTGGTAAACGGCGGCAGGCCGGCCTTGGAAAAAGGCTTGGCTCACAGTGACTCTCCCCCATCAGGTGCCCTGGAGAGGAGAGAGCTGGGGAAACGGCCTGCTGGATCCACAGACTGGAGGACAGGAGGCTGTGCGGGAAACAGCCCGGAAAGGGGGCGTGTTTTTACGGCCTGTCTTGCCTCTGATCCTTTCACGGATCCTCGTTTGGGAACTTGTCCAGTTCCACTGCTCCCTCGCTGTGAGACTGTACACGGCATGTTGGCCTTTGGACCTGGCTGCTACTTTCCGGGGCGCCAGCAGGGCCACCTCAGGATGGCCGGCCTCTCATTAGCTGCCTCAGGTGACCTGGTTGGCCATTTGACGCCGAGCTGGGCACGGGGTGCGTGGCGGTGGAGCCGCATGTGGGTGGGGGACGGCTGCCATTTGTTCCCGTTTCTAGAAATGTGGGGACGGGGTGCACCCCACTCCGAAGCGCAGGACGACTTAGCCAGGGGCCTCTGTCGCACTCTGTGTGTTAGCCAGGGGCCTTCGTCAGTCGCGTGGCCAGCCGGGGCCCAGGCCTGCAGTGCACGGCGCTTCCCGTCAGTACGTTCAGAAACGCCCCCTTTGCTCCTGCTCCCGAAGGCCAGGGCTTCAGCAGCCGACTGAGGCTGGAAGGCAGACGCGTCCAGGTTGAAATTAGGCTGTGGGGCCGTCTGGCCGCAGGTCAGTTGCCCCCGTGCTGCTTCTCATCCAGGAACTGACAGTCCCCCGCCAGCCGGGGCCGGATGGCCACCTGCTGTCGCCATGGGGGTGGGTGGTGCGGATTCTCGGATGGGCTGATGGGGGGAGAGAGGGAGACCTGGAGCCGGATTTTCTGCTGTGTAGGGAGATGCCGTAATGTCAGGTGGGGCTGAGCGTTCTTGAAACGGGCTCTGTGCAAATGCCGTTTGTGCAATGAAATCTTTCATTCCCCCCTTGGGGATGCAGCTTGGATTTAAAATGGCGAGCATCGCTACACGAAACCTGGTAGAGTAGAGCAGTTTTCTCAGGCTAATAATGTGGGGGAGGGGGACACAAACGTTGCTGGTCTGCAGAGTTCAGCCACCGCACAGGTGTCCCCATGCATCTATGTGGTGTGCTCACATGCATGCATGCGCTCAGCCTGGTCGGATGGAGGCAGTTCTGGATCGCCTTCCTCTGTCCCCCCCAAAATCAGGCCCTTGGCAGCTTGAATGTTGCAGCCTGACCTCTTCTCGTGCCTGCAAGAGCTGCTATGAACTGTAATGTTTCCTCTTTTCCTCTTTCCAGTTTGTTCTGAAAAACTATGGTGAAAATCCGGAGAACTATAATGAGGAGCTGAAGAAGCTTGAGCAGCTCAGACAGGTGAGAGTGCCTGCAGTTGTTGTAAGAAGGGCGACGCAGCATTACCTGGAGTGGTGAGCTATGCCGGCCGTGTGAGGGAGGGGAGGCAGGCTTGTGGGGAGGCTGAAATAGTTTCTGAGCTGCTGCAGGAGGGAGCCCGGTTTGGGAATCTGGGCTCGGCCCGTTCGGTCTGAAGGCACTGATCGCCGCGATTGCCGGGCCCTGTCCGTGAAGCCCACGTTCAGCACAGTCACGGCGCTTTTGCCAGGGTGCAGTGGCGTAGTGGAACCGGGGCGCCCTGGGATGCAGCAACAAGACTTCCTGATTTGCAGGGTTGCTGACCTCATTTGCCACCCTGCTCACAATTCCCTGCGCTTTCTGAGCTCAGCTGCATTTCTCACCAGAGAAAGGAGGCTCCCAACAACCATATATTCTTCCTGATTGTAACGCTAACTATTTTGGGGTGGCTTGGTTTCAAAGGGGCAGGCGGAATGCATGTGCTTTGCCAAGAGCAGCTCCTAGAACGGCCTCTGGTGTGAATCTGTGCAGCTGCCTGCATTTTATTTGAGCTCCTCTTGGAGGTGTGACTGAGCGGGATGTCACTCTGACTGTGAGCATGCCAGAATCTACCCCCGCGGGGCCCCACGGACGTTCTCGGGCTCCTTCCCCTGTGCTGGAAGGCGATATTTTGGCGATACTGCGCAAAATGCCCCGCTTCCCAAAGAGGGCCTGTGCTGCTGCTCAGATCGCTGTGTGGCGTGTGCTCGCGGGGGGTCCCGTTCTGAGGCGTCAGCCAAGCGCTGCACCGTGCGGGCGGTAAAGGCCCCGAAGCCCCCAGGGGGCGCCCCCCCCCACGGCCTCTCTCTGACCCGTTTCCCTTCCCTCGCGCAGAGTGCCGTGAACGTGCCCCGGGACTTTGAAGGGTGCAGCATCTTGCGCAAGTACTTTGGCCAACTCCACTACCTGCAGAGCCGCATCCCGATGGGGGCCGAGCACGAGGCCGCCGTCCCCGTCACCTGGTAAGAGGGCTGCGGTGGGGGGGGCGGGCAGAGGGGAAAGGGGCCGCCTGTCCCTCTCCCCGAAGCCCGCCTGGCTGGGTCGAGCACGGAAGAGGTTTTCCCAGCCTCGATCAGAAGCACTCTCTTTCTGCGACATTTCATCTTGAAGGGGAAAGAAAGGCGACAGGGAGAGCAGAGCAGAGCAGAGCAGAGGCGGCCGAGAGCTAAGTAACAGAAGCTTCGGGACAGCCTCCCTGTTCCGATCCACAGAGCGGTTTGGGGGGGAAGGGATGGCCGTCGTTCTGAGCGGGATGGTGTGAACTGGTGTCCTGCAGCAGCCGGGAGTTGCTCCCAGGGCCCTTCATGGTCCTTCCTGTGATTCTGTGGCTGCTGATGGATGGGGAAGAGGCGGCCCTTCAGGGGCTGGGCGTGCGAGGCGGCAGGGCAGGGCCGGGTGTAAACGGGAGGCCCCTGTGCTGAGCATAGAGGCGGCAGGTTTGCGCACGGACCGGTAAGCCAGAGCGGGTGTGAGAAGTGTGAGGGCGGAGCTGTGGGGCCTGCGTCGAACAGAACAGTAGGTGATAATGGATGTGCCCCCTGTTCCACGGGCTGTGCAGGCGTGGTGCTTGTGCCCCTGCGGCGTCCACACCCAGAAAACGTGGCTCCGTGCCTCGATTTCACCTGTGTAGTTCCCAGCTCCAGGCACTAAGACCAGAGGCGCTTGAATGAGCTGAGCAGGTCCCCGGAGGGGGAACTGACTCAGCGCTGCGCCAGAGGCCGCTTTCTGGGAGGGGAACCCTGTGCCTGGTCAGCTGCCAGACGGCCCCCTCTGTTCGCAGGACGGAGATCTTCTCCGGCAAGGCTGTGACTCACGAGGACATCAAGTACGAGCAGGCCTGCATCCTCTACAACCTCGGTAAGAGCCCTTCGGCCCCCTGGGCTCGGACCGCCGGTGCTTTTCGGGGGGGAGGCGGCTCAGAGGAGAGTGTCGCGGCTGCGTTGGCCAGCGTGCCGTCCGCACGTAAATGAGGCGAGACGGGGCCGGGGCACGCTCGGCCGGGGCAGGCAGCTTGTTTCGGCCGGCGGACCCCATCAGCTGGCTGGTGGGAGTCATGGGCCCAAACGGCGGGAGGGCCCTCAGTGCCCCCCCCACTCTGAATGGAGCAGTCTCCCGCGAGCGCAAGGGGGCTGCAGCCCGGACCTCACCGTGAGCTGGCCTCACATCCTCCTTGCTGAAGCCCCCCACCTCCCCCAGATAGCTGGGAAGTCTGCTGATCTGGATGGAAGTTGAGGTCTGACTGGATGGGATCCCGCTCTGACTGAAGAGCCAGGCCGCATTCTGGGGATCCTGCCAGGCTCGGCGCTGTCCGTGGAGGCATCAGCCGCGGTTGGTGCAGCGCCTACCCAGAGAAAGCAAGCCTGCCCCCAGTCCTATAGGGCTTGGTTCGATAACTGCCACGGAACTGCCCCCGAAACGGACATAAATAGACCAACGGATGCAGAGGGAGATGGCCGCAAGCCCCGTACCTGCACGTGTGAATGGTAACCCGGGTGTCCTTCCGCCCCTGCAGGTGCCTTGCATTCCATGCTCGGGGCGATGGACAAGCGGGTGTCCGAGGAGGTGAGCTCTGCCACTTTCGTTGGGTGGACGGCACTCGGGCGCAGGGACCGGGCCGCAGCATCTGCGCCCCACGTGGCCCCCGGGCAGCTCTAGGCGGGCGCTCCGAGATTCCCCAGAAGGCCCTGGCCCTGCTCTGCCCCTCCCACTAGCCCTGTTTGCGTGGCGTCCGGCTTTTGCGCAGCCTTCTGGCGTGGCAGCCTGAGCTTTCAGCCAAAATTGGCCAGCATTCTTTGGGCCCGGGGCCTTGCCTCGCTCGGAGACGCCTCCACCGTGCGTTGCCCCCAAAAGCTGGCCCTCAGACCCTGCAGCTGTGTGCTAACGGCCCCTCGAAGCCGTAATTTTGGGGGGGGTATTTTATGGGGCGTTGCTTGGGAAAGGTCCTGCAGATTCGCTCTGCTCCCCACGACTGGCTGCCAGAACGGTCGAGGATCTTGCTGCAGGTGGGAGGAGGGAATAGACGGGGCAGGAGGCCTCTGGCCACGCAGAGGGTGGTGTCTGGGCAGCTGCCTCCTGGGACACAGCGCAAGGCAGGCGGGAGGATGAGCTCCGGTGTCCGAAGGCCTGCAGTCGCTCGCTGCTGCTTCATTCCTGGAGGCCCACAAACGGAGCGAGGGATCGCCGTTCGACCCTGGGTCCCCGTGGGGTGTTCCTGACCAGCCCTCCCTTCCCAGGATCAGTTGTTCTGTAGTCGGAGGCTGCGTGACCTGGGTTTGCTCAGCCAGCGAAGGTAGCCGCCCTCCTCTCCCTCGGGGCCTGGAGCCCCAGGCAGGCAGCAGGAGGCGGCAGCGCTGGGCTGCGTCCAGCGGGTTCTGCATCTCATGCACTTCCTTGGGGAGGGCGTCCTGTTGCCCCAGAAGCCTTGCTTCCCGGGCCTGGAGCCACGACCCGGCCCTGCGGTGCGGCCCAACACGCCCTTGCCCAGCTCCGTTCCATTTCTCTCAGCCACACATTCTCCGGGGGCTTGCTGGCTTTTGCGCAACTTTCTCTCCCTTCCTTCCAAAAGCCTGGAGCAGCTCTTGTGTAGTTGAAAGCGTCCGTGATGCATTCCCGCCCTGCTCCATTGGATGACAGCCATTCCCTCCACCGGGATGTGGCCGCGGGAGCTCCCCAAAGTGGAATTTGGCGCTCAGGCCCTCTCGCGTGACTCAGGCGGGGCTGCTCCTGACCTCCCCGAGGGGTCCTCCAGCAGCGCTTGCCGGAAAGGCCACTTCCCTCTGCCCCCTCTCTCATCTCGCAGGGCATGAAAGTCTCCTGCACCCATTTCCAGTGCGCGGCAGGTGCCTTCACCTACCTGCGGGACCACTTCCCTCATTCCTACAGCGTCGACATGAGCCACCAGATCCTTAACCTGAACATCAACCTCATGCTGGTAAGCCGGGCTGGGCAGCGTCTGCGGAGCAGCCCCTTGTGTGGAAGGGAATACCGGACTGGGCAGAGTTGCCCCAGAAAGCTGCCGCTGGCCTCGGTTCTGGGCTAAATAAGCAAAGAGCTGGGCTTTCTGTGCTCGCCCCAGCAGCAAACTGTGTGTGTCTGGAAGTCAGACGCACAGGTGTGGCAGTCCCTTTTGTCTGTTGGGGGAATGGAAGGCCACAGGCGCCCAGCTCATGCGGGGATCCAGCGGCAGAAGGACAGAGTCGCTGTCCTACGCCTTGCCTTCTTGGAGCGTCTCGTGCCACTTCTTGTGCCACTTCTGAAGCTGGTTTCTTCTGCCCCAGTGAAAGCCACCAAGAGTCTTGTGGCACCCTCAAGGGGGACAGATTTCTGATGGCGTTAGCTGGTATTCATGCCTTCTAGCAGGATGGCTGCAGGCCACCCCCTGGCTCCGAGGAAGCACCCCTCTGGATCAGCAGCAGCTGGAGCTGGGCCCTAGCCTGCCTGTCCTGCTCGCGGCCTTCCCAGAGCGCCTGGCCAGCCAGGGGAGGCTGGACCGGGGCTGGCTAGGCCCCTGGACCGCCTGGAGCTGGGCAATTCTGCCCTCACGCTTCTGGGGACAAGGGCACAGACCTCTGAGGGGCCCCAGCACTAGCCGCGCTCATGTTGCTTTTCTTCCTCCTCCGCCTCGAAGGGCCAAGCCCAGGAGTGCCTCTTGGAGAAGTCGATGCTGGACAACCGGAAGAGCTTCCTTGTGGCCCGGATCAGTGCTCAGGTGAGCCGCTTGGGGGCCTTACACCGGGAGGGTGGGAGCTCTCCCCCAAAGCAGGTAAATGAGCAGACGAGAGTCCCGTTGCTTCCGCCGTCAGCGTAGCCCAAAAGTCTCCTTCTGCGGACTTCTCCATTGCCAGCACTCACGTGGCCGTCCTTGTCTCCCTCCTGTCTCCCTGCCAAGGTGGTGGATTACTATAAGGAAGCGTGTCGCGCCCTGGAGAACTCCGAAACGGCCTCCCTGCTGGGGAAGATCCAGAAGGACTGGAAGAAGCTGGCGCAGATGAAGATCTACTATTTTGCTGCGGTGGCACATGTGCGTGGCACGGATGGGAGGCCTCGGCCCGGAACCCCTGGCCCGGCCCGGAACCTTTGGGCTGGGGACCCATTGGCTGCATTAGCTCCATAGCCGCCCGGACGGGCAGCTTAGCGCTCCACGGGGCTCTGGGGCCCTCCACTTACTTTCTTAGACTCCAACACCTGTGGGGCATAAAGAAGCCTCCAGCTCCACATTCCTCCGTCCTGAGCCGGCTGGAGCCAGGGGTCAGACTAGATGGCCCAGGAGTCCCCTTCCGTTTCTGTGTCCTGCTTTTTCGGAGTATGTTGCTTCCAACCCCTGAATACACGGTGTCTTTCTTCTTCTATATCTATCCTGTTTATTTCCTGAAAGGAAGCTGGGTGTCTTCCTCCTCCTCCTCCTCCTCCTCTCTATTTCATCTTCACAACAGCCCTGTGAGGCAGGGCTAGGCTCAGAGTCACCACCTGGCCCAGAGCGCTTCATGGCTGGCTTGGGGCGAGAGCAGGGGTCCCCCAGTCCCCGTGCAGCCCTCCGACCCCCCGTGCCACTCCGGGGGCGCCAGCAGCTTCCTCAGCGCCTTAGCCTCTTGCAGTGCAAAGAACGTGGGCGCCGCCTCGAGGTGGGGCTTCCATGGCCTTCCTCCCTCCCTCCCTGGTGCCCACCAGGCCTCACCTTTCATGCCACGCAGCCTGCAAAGGCCGCGTGGCCTGAGCGATCCGCCCCGCAGCTGCCCAAGTCCCCATCGTCTCCCGGAGAGCCGCGATCCGGCTCTGAGCGGCAGGGTGGAGGGCTGCGAGCACGCGCTCCGGCCTGCGCTGGGCTCTCGCCTGGCGGCTTCAGCGGCGGCTTCTCCCTTCCTCTCCTGCAGCTGCACATGGGGAAGCAGGTGGAGGAGCAGCAGAAGTACGGGGAGCGGGTAAGTGGCGCCGGCCGGCCGGAGTGCTGCTGGGGAGGGCAGGCCGCCCGCCTGGAGAGGGGCGCCTTCCGGCCGCGGGGGGGGGGGGGGTCCGGAGGCCCCGCCAGCTGCTGTGGAAACGCATGCCGCGTGGCCAGGGGCGCCCTGAGGACGTGGGATTCGCCCGGGCCAGTGCGAGCGTGGCCCGCCGTTGTGCAGTGGCGTGGCTGCCGTTCGTGCGCCAGGCGCCTCCCCCTCTGAAGCAAACTGCCTTCTGCACCAGAGGCCACCCGGCTCCCATGACCCTTGGCCCCGTGGCCAAGGGTGAGGACTGATGGGAGTCGTAGTCCGGCAGCATCTGGAGCGTGGCACTCTCCTCATCCTTCCGGGCCTGCTTGGGATGAAGGCGCTCTGAGCGGGTTTTGGAGGGGTAGGGGAAAGCGGGGAACCGACGGGAGATGGAGGATTTGCGGAGGTTGCGTTCCGTGCGAGGCTGGCTTCAGTTTTCGGGAGGGTGTGGGATCAGGGTCCGCCGCCTTCTCCTCCCTCCCCACCAGTTCTGTGGGCACACGTCCTGGTCTTCCAGTCCCGAGGACGGCAGGGCTGGGGAGGGGGGGAGGACCGTGTCGCATTAAAAACAGAGCACGTTTTTTAGCGAGCCCCGATCGGTTGCTGACGGTGTGAAGCGAGGGGGGGTCCAGTCCAGGAATGGGGCTGGGGAGGAGCGGGAAGGAGGAGGCGGCCGTGTCCCGGTCCAACCCATAAGAGCTGCGGGGCCTGCGCTGCTGGTTCGCCCTTCAACTGGCGGTGTGACCTACCTGTGCTCGAGCTGCAGCCAGGTGGGGTGGGCGGCTGTGGGGGAACTCCAGCTGTGGAACATGGGTGGACCCACCTGGGCTGCCGCTGCTCCTCCTGCTGCCCCGCTCTTTTGCGGAGGTCCTTTTCCGTGCCCGTGTTTGGGGGGCCGTGGCTGGGGGCTGGAGGGCCGATGTGAGCCACGCAGGTGGAGGGGAGCAGCCACGGGGAGGGCTGGGAAGCCGCTCGAGGTTGCCCGGCGCGTTCTGCGGCAGGTCCCTGGGAGCCAGGAGGCTGAGCGCTGGGGGAACTGCAGAGGTGAGGGAGTCCAGCCCCTCTTCGGCACAGGCTCTGCACCACAAGGGGCGGCTGGAACGTCCCCGGCAGATCCCTCCCAGCACACGCAAACGAAGCTTTGTACCCCGAGCCTGGGAAGCGACTGTTGCCCAGCCCGATCCTCTTGCGTTCAGCGCCAGGTGGAGCAAGGCGCTCGGTTCACGGAATCCTCTCTCTTGGCAGGTGATCTACTTCCAGAGTGCCCTCGACAAGCTCAACGAAGCCATCAAGCTGGCCAAGGTACAGCTTCTCTTCCCTTTTTAATTCTTAGTGGCTTTGGAGCTCTCTGCTACCTGGCCCCGTCCAGTTACACAAATTCCCGGCCGGCCTGGCCATCGGAGCATGGCGTTCTGTAGTTTGAACAAAAGAGATCTTGATTTCTGTGGCCGCACAATCCAGATTCTGCAGTTTAGAGAAGTTGTGCCAAGAGAACGGATTTGCATGAATAAGTTTGGGCCACCTGCGTGGCTAAACTGACTCCAAATCCCGAAGCTGCTCTGTGTGCCACAAAAACGAGGGAAACGCTTCGCCTCTCTACTTATAAACAATTGCGTGGAGCAACTTTCATATCCAGACAGACCTCATACTGGGAACAAAATTGGGGTGTGTGAAGAGACTCCTTCCAACTAAAGATGGAGTGCACGTTGCCCCGTCTGAACTCGCGGAGCCTTGAGTGGTACGAAGCCACCCACTTGAACTTGCAGGTCTGTTCTTGGCCTCAGAAATAGCTGCTTTGAGTTTGAGTCATGGGAATCGGAGAGAAGACAGACACAAAGAGAGCACCTGGCCCATAGACAGTGATCGAAGAAAATGCTTTTCTCCACCGTGTGCTCCTCCAGGAGCTGGTGTTCTGAGGCGTTCCGGAGCGTCTGTCCCTGGGTAGCCTTGGCCTTCAGGATCTCTTGCCCCTGTTGCGTCCGTCCAAGTTGACGGCTGTGGCAGAACAATGCGCTGCATGAAGATGTGCATCCTTTCCCCCTTGCATCTCCTGCAGCTCTCGGTGGTTCACCGCATTCTGCTCTCTGTGTATGAGGAAGAAGTACGTCCCCGTGTGCTCCTGAGGCCCCTTTGGGCCCTGCGGCCCCTGTCCACCCCCTCCCATCTGCCCTCTCCACGAAGCGTCGCTCATTGGGAGGTGTGATTAAAAGCAGCTTTCTTCTTTCAGGGTCAGCCCGAAACCGTGCAGGAAGCTCTGCGGTTCACCATGGACGTCATCGGAGGAAAGTGAGTCAGTCTGCGATTGGTCTTCCAGGGAGGGGCCGCTTGTATCTTCTTCCCACCATCTCCTCGCGAATGGCACTTTTGCTCCGGAAGAACCTGTGTAGTTTGTTCCAGACCCTCCCCCCCCCACACACTCCTCTGTGACTGGTTCCTTACAAAACCTGAGTACAGAATTCCCATCCATTAGATGCCGGAGCACTTTCCATGTATTTTCATGGCTGGGTGATTCTCTGGGACCATAAGGACTAGAAACCAGAGTCATGCTACATCAGGGCAGCAGCCTATCTGTTCATCACTCTGGGAGAGCCTCCAGGTGTGGCTGCAGTAGCACCTCCCTCTCACGCCCGCCGGCCGCGCGGCCTGCACTTCTGGACGGCCTCTAAAGCCATCCTGGCTTGCAGCTCAGCCTCAGCCTCATTTTAACAAGCCCCTTACCTGGTTTCCCAAGCCACACCCCAAGTGGTGCATTCAAGGCAGGTTTGTGGGCCTTAGTAGTCGCTGGGGGCTCGCAGGGGGAGGGGGGCCGGCCAGACTTTCTCCCCCCCGACTGGCTGTGCAGACTCGCTCCCGGGTTCCCTCCTGCTTTGTTAGGAGCCCAGCCCCATTGGCCAGCCCAGCTGCTGCTCTTGCTCCTCCTGGGGTCGGGGGTCCCCAGCCTGGCTCTGTGACAGCGGCAGGCAGTGGTGACCCGGGGCGGCGGCCTGCTGGCGTCGTGCTCCCGCTCTGAGCGGAAGCGTGCTCTCCAGGCCCCACGGCTCAGATTGACCTATTTGTTTATTTAGAACTTTTCTAGACGGTCCCTTACCAAAGTCAGTTGAACAGTTCAACAATGTGAAATAAAACGCAGCGTCCTAAAAAAATTCAACTGACTATAAAACCCCAGTTGGAACTATCAGATCTTAAAACATTGGGAAAATAAAAAGGTTTTAGCCTGGCGCCGAAAAGAATAAAGTGACGGCACCAGGCAAACCTCTCCAGGGAGCGAATTCCACCATTGGGGTGCCACCACAGAGAAGGCCCTTCCCCAGGTAGCCACCCTCCTAAACTCCTTCCGGGAAGGGCCTCTGTCCCAGATCCTAAGGGGTGGGTGGGCACGTATGGCAGGAGACGCCCCTTCAGGTACCCAGGCCCTGAGCTACGCAGGGCTTCCTAGATCATCACCCGCACCTTAAATTGGGCCCGGACATGAACTGGAGGGCTGTGTAGGTGGAAGAGGACCGGCGTGCATGCTCATACCTGCCGGTCCCTGTGAACACCCCGGCGGCTCTCCTCTGGACCAGCGGAAGTGTCCAGGCCGTCTCCAAGGGCAGCCCCCGCAGAGCGCGTCGCAGTAGCTGTGCGCCTCCTTGCCGCCTCTTCCTCAGGCGAGGCCTGTGTGCTTGTGCGCCCACTTTTAGGTACGCCTCTGCCAAGAAGGACAATGACTTCATCTACCATGAAGCCGTACCTGCCCTGGATACCGTGCAGTCTGTTAAAGGTACTGTGTGCAGCCCCCCCCCCCACTGCCCGATCCTGCCCCCGCCAGCTTTCCTCCGCTGCGCACCTCAGGGCGGCTGGCGGGCATCGTGAAAGGGCCACCTCGGCCCAGGGGCTCCCCTAAGACTGGCCCCCCGGGCAGGGTGACGTTCACTCTCAGCCGGAGGGCATTCCCGCTTCGCTCAGGGAGAGCGGCCGTTGGCGGGCATCGTGCGGCAGCCGCAGAAATCTGTGCGCGGCGTTGGACGGGATGTGACTTGAAAGCGCGCGTTTCCCCTGGGGGCCCCCACGCCACCCCGTGGCACGTCCTGGTGTCCCGTTGGGCAGGGAGGGAGCAGGGGGCTCTGTGCAGGCGGCATCTAGGCCAGTGGTGCCTCGCACTGGGACTCGGGCGCAACGAGTGGCGCATCAGTGGTGCCATGAATACTGGATAACGTCGGGAGGCCTGGGATGAGGAAAGCCGAAGTCCCACGTTGAAACCGAGCTCCTGGCTGCGTCTCTGCCTCCGCAGGGCGTCCCCGTGTTTCCGCCCGGCCTCCGCAGACGCTGCCCACGCAGTTGGACTGCACCTCCCATCATGCACACCTGTAGGCTGTGGCCCCGTCCTGTCCCTTCCTCTTGGCAGCCTGCAGGGCTCGGGCCCTCGCCGGAGCGCCTCAGCTGTCCCGTCACCCGGGGTCCCCGCTGCCTCCTGGGAAGCCCCCCCGGGGGCTCGCGGGATGCCTGGCGGCAGCTGACGCTGTCCCGCCGTCTCGTCCTCTCCCCAGGGGCGCCGCTGGTGAAGGCCCTTCCCGTGAACCCCACGGACCCCGCTGTGACGGGCCCCGACATCTTCGCCAAGCTGGTGCCGATGGCGGCCCACGAGGCGTCATCCCTGTACAGGTGAGCGGCCCCCGCTCGTGCGTCCCGGGAAGCGCTCTGGCGGCAGGAGAGTCCGGGCTCTCCTGGAGCCGTCCGGGAGCAGTGATGGAGAGGAAGGCTCCCCAGAAGGCCTGTGCCTGCAGCGCTGGGGGGGGGGGGAGCCCCGCGAGGCACAGAAGCCGGGCCCGGCGGGTGTGAGCCGGGCCGGTCCCCGATGCAGCGGTGCTGAGGAAGCCCTGCAGCTGGGGCCGCAGCCGCCTCTCACCTGGGGCGCCTCTCCCCACGCGCCCTGGCACTGACCACCCTTCCTCTCTGCTCCTCAGCGAAGAGAAGGCCAAGCTGCTGCGGGAGGTCATGGCCAAGATCGAGGCCAAGAACGAAGTGCTGGAGTACGTGTGTCTGTGAGGCAGCTCGGGGGCGGGGGGGAAAGAGGAAAGGGGGCGTCCCTCCTCCCTCAGGCGCAGCGTCCCGGGTGGGCCCAGTCTCTAGCGTGGCCTTCGCCAGCCTGGCGCCCCTGGGAGGCTGGCGGGGCCACGTGAGGGTTGCTCTCCCACCCTACCTGAGCCCGCGGGGTTGGGGAGGGCCGCCTGGACCGCTGCCCTCTGCGCGAGCGGTGCAGAGAAGGCCGCGTTGAGGGGCCGCGGCCTTTGTGAGCGCAGATCGTCGCGAAGGGGCCCGGCTTTCCTGCGGAGCCAGTTCAGCCGCTCGGGCCCCCGTGAGGGCGGGTGGGAAGTCGCAGTGCTCGCACGTGTCTGGCCGGCCGTTCGCGTGGGCGGCTGGCCAGAGGGGCGCTGGCAAAAGGGGGCCGTCCCGCTGAGAAGGCGTTCCTGGCATGCGCGCCACCGCCGAGGCTGTCCCGTGGCGCCTGGGGGCGCGGCGAGGCTCCCACGGGCGCTCTGCGGCCCCCCCTATCAGCCCCTTCTCTCTTCTCGCAGGCAGTTCATGGACTCCCTCCAGCTGGACCCCGAGACCATCGACAACCTGGACATGTACAACCACATCCCCCCCGTCCTGATGGAAAAATGCGCCGCGCTGAGCGTGCGCCCCGAGACGGTGAAGAACCTGGTGCAGTCCATGCAGGGTGAGCGGCCGGCCCCGGGGGCCCCGCCGGCCGAGTGGGACGGAGGCCGGGCATGCGCCGCGAAGGGGCAGCCGTGCCTGCCGGCCCCGGGAGCATGCACACGCTCTGTGTTGCTCCGCACACTGGGGACCGTCGCCAGAGAGCACCTCCGGCAGCGGAGCCGGCCTGAGCGTTGGGCACGGCCAGCCCCTTCCAGCGGCTGGCGATGGGAGCAGTCTCTGGAGAACTTTCGGGGTGCAAGAAGAGCCCCTGCCTCCCCCCTTCTGGCCAGGCTGGGGCCCTTTTCTGAGGGGGCCAAAATGGCGGTGCCAAGGGCCCCCACCCACTCAGCGCAGGGCTGACCTCTGCTTACGCCAGCTGGCTGGGCAGAGCGGCCAGGGGGCCCGCGGGAGCTGTGGCCGACGCGCCTGCTTGTGAGGCCAGCTCTGGCCCCGGCCAGGCAGGGGTGGGGGAGAGGCTTCCGCCTGGCCCCCCCTCACTCCGGACCGCTCTTCCCCCTCCTGCCAGTGCTGTCCGGCGTGTTCACCGACGTGGAGGCCTCCCTGAGGGAGATCAAGGAGCTTCTCGACGAGGACGAGGCCCAGGAGCAGAAGCTGCGGGAGGTGCTGAGCAAGCTGCCCCCGCCGCCGCAGGGCTCCCCGCCCCCCCACCTGCCCGCCTCCCCCGTGCTGGCCGAGGTGGCCAAGGAGTGGGCCAAGTACATGGAGGCGCACGAGAAGGCCAGCTTCACCAACACGGAGCTGCACAAGGCCATGAACCTGCACATCAGCAGCCTGAAGCTGCTCAGCGGCCCCCTGGAGCACGTCCGGGCCGCCTTGCCCGCGCCCAGCCTGACAGAGGGTGAGCCCCTTCCCCGGAACGGGCCCCACGCCTGGGACGCGCCCCGGGGGCCACGCTCCTGCACAGGCCTCCGGGCTGGGTCCTGCCCTGCAGGGGCGGCGTGGAGCCTCAGGCCCGCCGGCCTGGCCTGCACCCCCTTTCCCCGACCTCCGTGTGTGGTGGTTTCCCGGCCACTGTGCCCGAGGATGCGGGTCCCTCTCCAGGCGCTTAAGCCGCGGACAGGAGGAGGGCGAAGTGAAGCGAGGTGGGGATCTTGGGGGCTCCCCTTCCTGTCTTTTGCCTCTCCCTGTTTCCTTTGGTCTCACCCATGGCTGGAGTGCCCACCCTGAGAACTTCTCTGAACTTGATTCCGTCCTTAGCCTGATGGAACCCCCCCCCCACACACACACACGTGTGAGCTTTGAGAAGACCGTGATTCTGTCCGTGCTAAGGGGGTGGCGCTGGGGGAAGCTAGTGTGTGAGCGGGCGGAGAATGTGGCTTTGCAATACTTTCAACTCGCCTTTCCCCCAGCCCACAAGTTTCTAGTCCTTAGTCTTTTAAAATTTTATATCCTTGGGCAAGGTCTGGTGACATCTCCAAACCTACAGTGGCTAATTTCAAGGGCATCCGTGTTCCCCAGTTTTTTCCTGACTGGCAGAAGTAGAGTGAATTATTCATTATCATAAACATGGTAGAATAACTTAGGAAAGTAAATTCAGCTGGCCTGCAGAATGCAACTTGCCTTGGCACGGAATCTTCTTCTTACGGCTTAGCCCAGACACTTGGCCACAGTTGAAAATCTCCACCCTGTGAACGGCCCCGGCATGGAACCGGAGCCTCTCCGTGGGCGGGAGAGCCCGGGACGCGTGCTGGTGGGCTGTGCGTGGGCAGCCCGCGTGCTCTGCACGCAGCGTGTGCCAGCCAGCGGGTGCCGCTTCCGGACCCTCCCGAGCTCAGCCGTTCTCCCTGCACCCGGGAGTTCAGGAGGGGGCGAGGGCGGGAGGTTCGCGCCGCCCGCCGGGGTCTCACCCGCTGCCCCTCGCCCCGTAGAGGAGAAGCAGGTGCTGCAGAACCTGAAGCGGATCCTGGCCAAGGTGCAGGAGATGAAGGACCAGCGGGTGTCCCTGGAGCAGCAGCTGCGCGAGATGATCCAGAAGGACGACCTCACCACCTCGCTGGTCACGACGGACCGCTCCGAGATGAAGGTGCGCCGCCGCCGGCACACGGCCGCCCCGTGCGGAGGGCTCCCGTGCAGGCCGCGGGGGCCGCGCCGCGGCCGAGCTCCAAATCGGCGGCGAAAGGGGCTCGCCGCCGTGCCGCGCGCCCCAAGAGCCCCCTGGCCGGCCCTGCTCCCGGGTTGGTGCAGCAGGTCACCCGTGGGGGCTGTCCCTCCGCCCGTTGCCCCCTCCGGGCCCCCCGTCCCCCTCCGCCCCGGGTTCCCGGCTCAGCCCTGCCCTGCGCGCTCTCGCTCCAGAAACTCTTTGAGGAGCAGCTGAAGAAGTACGGCCAGATCCGGGTCTACCTGGAGCAGAACCTGGCCGCCCAGGAGAACGTCCTCAAGGCTCTGACGGAGGCCAACGTCAAGTACGCCGCCGTGCGGAAAGTCCTCGCCGAGGTGGAGCGCAAGTGAGCAGGGGCGCGGGGCCCATCGGGGGGCCGATCGGGGACCTGGCTGGGCTGCCGCTGCCCCACGCCCGACTCCAGGGGCAGGAGCCCTGTGCCCCTTCTCCAGCAGGCGTCCCCCCAGAGGAACAAGGGCGCCCCCTGGGCGAGACCCCACTGGCTGCCTCCCCTTGCCCTCGTGGGCCGCAACGGACCGTGGGGGGTCAGGCGGGGGGCTTTGTCGGAACCCGCCCACCCTCCTCTGCCCACGGGACCCCCGAGTGGCACGCGTGGCTTCGGGGGCGGACTCGGCGCCCTCTGAGGCATGGGGCCAGCGGGGGAACGCCGTGAGTCGCGGTCCGGCAGATCCGGCGTAGAAGCCACAGAATTCGATGCTGGAAGCCCATTCAGCAGCCAAGAGCAGCATCTTAAACAACTCGTATATGTACCATAACAGGTTAAATTAAATTGGGGCGGGGGGCTGCGGCGAGGGCAGGGCGCTGTCCCATGTCAAATAGGTGCCTCCCCCCAGCACCCGCCGAGGTGGGTGCCGATCGGGTCTCCTTTGGAGGCTGAGGGAGGGGGCCACCTGCCGGGCCCTCCCTCTGGACCTGAGGCTGCCTGGCTGGGGAAGGGGAGGAGGCCGTGCCGCACTTGAGTGGGGGGGGCCGCTCGAGCAAGCCCGCCCGTCCTGAGCCCCTCTCGCCGCCCCCAAGGTGGAACTCGACCCTGCAGACGCTGGTGGCCTCCTACGAGGCGTACGAGGACCTGATGAAGAAGTCGCAGGAGGGGAAGGACTTCTATGCCGACCTGGAGAGCAAAGTGGTCAAGCTGCTGGAGAAGGGCCGGGGGGCCTGCAAGGCGGCGGAGGCAGCCCGGCAGCAGAGCCTGGGGAAGGAGGTGGCCCGCGGGGGGGGCCCGGCAGCAGAGCCTGGAGAAGCAGGTGGCCCGCGGGGGGGCGGGGGGGCCCGGCAGCAGAGCCTGGAGAAGCAGGTGGCCCGCGGGGGGGCCGGGCCAGGCCGGGGGCACGGGATCCCGCCTGCTTTCGAGAGCGTCTTCCAAGCAGCTCCCACGAAAGTGCGGAAGTATGCTGCTGCCCCATGAGCAGGCCAAGTCGGGCAGCTCCGCCCCCCGGTGTCCTTCGGTCGGCCCCCACTGGCTGGGGATGCTGGGAACAGTAGTTCAACCCACCTGGAGGGTGCCGGGTTGGGAAAGGCTGGATCAAAGCATCGCGTGGATCGTGTCAAAAGATGGCACCGGGGCGCTCCGTCGCCACCCTGTCTCCCTCTGTGCCAGGACGCGAGGGCAGCCGCGCTGGTGGGGCCCGGCGTGTCCTGTGGGGAGCCGCAGGCCCCCCTGCCTCTGGCGGCCTCCTTCCCGCAGGCCCGATCGGCGGCGCCTGGGGCCGGGCCCCTCCGGCAGAGGGCAAGCGGGAGGCTGAGCTGCCCGTGCCCTGGCTGGCAGGCCGGCCGAGCTCACCGGCCTGCGCTGTCTCCCTGTTGCAGAGAGATGAAGAGGCGGCCTCCCCCCCGGCCCACCACCCCGAAGCCCGCCCTGCCGCCGAAGGCCCCGGAGCGCGAGCCGGCCGACCCGCCGCCGCTGGCCTCCCTCCCGCTGGCCGACCTGCCCGAGGAGCTGCGCAGCCTCCCGCCCGAGGTGCTGGCCGCCCACCTGGCGCAGCTGCCCCCTGAGGCCCTGGCCGCCCTCGGCGTGGACCCTGCCTCGGCCGGCCTGGGCCAGAGAGGGGTGGGGGCGGCAGGCCGGCCCGGCCAGGCGCCCCGGCTCCCCTTCGGCCCAGGCCCGCTCGCGGCTGCCGCACCGCTGCCCGGCCACTACCAGCCCACCGGCATCCCCACCTGCGTGGGGGCCGGCCCGTTCTCCACAGCCCCCGGCCCGGCCCCCGTTCCCTCCCACGCCATGCAGCCCTCCGCCCCGCAGACCCACCTGCCGCCAATGAGCCCCCCGCCCGCCACGCAGCTCTACCCTCCAGGTACCCTCCTCTGCGGCCCGGCCATGGCCCCCCTGCAGCCAGCCTACCCGGGGGCCCCGCCGCCCCCTCCACGGACCTCCCCACAGCACCTGCCGATGCCCCTCCCAGCCCCCGGGGGCAGCTACGGCCTGGGGCAGCCGACCCCCAGCAGCGGGGCCCTGCCGGCTCCCCAGCCCATGCCCCTCGGGGCCAGGCACCCCCCTGCGGCCCCCGGCCCCTTCGCGCCCGGCATGCCCCCCCACCCGGCCCAGGCCATCCGGCCGGCCAGCACCACCGTTGACAGCATCCGGGGCCCCATCCCCAGCTGTGCCGCCAGCAGGGGCGGGGCGGGCCCCCCTCTGCAATGGGCAGGGCTGCCTCCCCAGGGTGGCTTCGTGGGGGCCCAGGCGCCCGGGGCCCCCTTCCCCTATGCCCAGGCCAGCGGCCCCCCCTTCGTGCAGCGGGTCTTGGCGCCCTTCTCGGCGGCTCAGCCCCAGCAGAGCTTCCCCCCGCATGGGCACGTCCAGCCCGTCGGGCGGGGGCTGGACGCGCCACCCCCCCCAGAGGTCCCCCCCCCCCTCCCGCCCCCGCCCCCCCCCCTTCCAGCAGCCATTCCCCGCCCAGGCCCCAGGCCAGCCGGCCAGCCTGAACCAGGGGCCTGCGCAGCCCCCTCCCCAGCTGGGGCCCCCCC